CAAAGAAATCTTCTTGACAGTATTGGTAAAGCACTCATCAAGGATTGGAGGCTGAAGTGGGTACATGAAAGGAAAGAGCTTCTATATTGCATTGGCTATGGCTAAAGAACATCAATTGATTATTGAGCAAAACTTAAAATATCATACCTTTGAATTATTCCTGCACACAAGTTCATGAACAATCACAGTGATGAATGAGATCTTAAATAGTTCTGTACCAGGAACAGATTCACAGTAACTGGAGAGGCCTTTCTAAAAGCTGCATGTTGGAGATGTGGGACAGGACAGAGGAAACAAGGGATTTAGCTGCTGAAATAGTTTAGGTTCTTCTTTAATGAGAAATATACTCTTATTTAGATCTTCTAATAATGTAATGCTCCAACAGTTGTAAATGAAATAAATTGATTGTTACAATGTAAATGTTTCTCTGTCCTGTGTATTCTAGGCTCTAGCTGTTACAACCCACCCTAATCCCAGAGGAGCAAAGTGAGCTCTTAGTGGATTACAAATCCTGAGGTTCAAAATATACCCTAAAATAGGATTAAAACCAAATGAGGTTAAATGTTGGTATAAAAAAAAATGATATATTTTATTTAACTGTAAAAGAGATGAAGGGAAAGAAAGAAAGAAGGAAATAGAAAAAGATGTGTGTGGGGGGGAAAGGGAATGTGACAGAGACAGATTAAGTAGAAGCATATTGCCTTTCCATGGGTCCAAATGATGTCTTGTTGCTTCTCTCCATCAGGTCTTCTTGGCAGTGAGAGTTTCCTGCTGAAAAGTATAAAATCCCATGGATTAATATACATTTGGGCCAGGTGGGAATGCCCAGGTACCTGCCCTGCAGGGCATATAGTTTGACACTGTGCCTTGCAAGACTGTGGATATGTTGCATCACGTCTTGCATCATGTGCAGTGCTCTGGTGCAGGATCTGGGGAGCCATTTGGGGAGCCTTTGATGGACCATGACCCTCTCTCAGCTGCTGCTCACCTGCCTGTCCTGTAGATGTGGCTCTCCTGTGCTGGGGGTTGCTGCAGCTGGGCTGCTCTGCACAGCAGAAGATGGGCGTTCACTGCCCTGTCAGAACCAGGGGTTTGCCACAGCCCCAACCTCCTCCTCCTCCTTCCTTTGGTGCCAGGGGTCTGTGCAAGCCTGGCAGCAGGTAAGTCCAAGGTTGTGGCTTCCATTCCAAAGCTGCTGTGTTTGGCTCTCCTGTGAATGCTTATCCATTAGTTCCCAGACCTTAGATGCTTAAAATGATAGCGTCACTTTCTCTTCTTTCTATCCCTTAGGTGATTTAACTTACAGCTGGGTTTCAGCCAGGAGACCCATTTAGGGTGAGCTTTGGTGGTGCAGGTTCATTATATAGTTTTGCTGTAATAGGCAAAAGTCCTTCATAAAAATTTTTAAGCCATAAACCATAACATTTCAGCCTCTAAAACTGGCATAGTAGGATTTGATGTTATTAGCTATGTTAATATAAAAAATTATTAGTAATTGAACTAATAAATCCCCCCACCAAATGTACTCTGAGTTTACGGATTGTTTCTTCTTAAGATAGCTGAAAACTAGTCTGCAGTAACTTTTAAATATTTTTCTCCAGCAGTATGGATATTTTTCTCTTTTTTTTTTTACCCTTTGTCTCTGTTATTTTCACTGAAGTGAAAACAGGCAAGAGAAATGCTTTTCAACTTATTAGTTTTGTACATAACTCATCAACTACACGTGGAACAGATAGAAAGTGTCCTTTTCAGTATATTTCATCTGAACGACTATTCATGGGGTGTGTATCTTGTTTAGAACTTTTATAAGTTAATATTCAGTTACATATGATTTTCTCTGGAGATTACACACATGCACAGGCAATTCTTTTCTTAGGTCAAGGTTCACCAAAACGCAGCTAACAAGACATTTATGACCCATCAATCTCTTGTATGTGCTTCACAAATCACATATGTCCTTTTGTCCACCCTCAACAGAACAAAGGTGTAGAATCACAGAAAGCTTGGGGTTGGAAGCTGGTTGGAAGTCTGGATGCTGTCTTATCCAACCTCCTTACTCAAGCAGGCTCACCTGGAGCAAGGTGTCCAGGACTATATCCAGATGATTTCTGAATATCTCTAAGAATGGAAACCCTGCAACCACCCTGCAAGTGCCAAGTTGCCCCCTGACAGTGAACAAATATTTCCCAGTGTTCAGAGGCAACCTCCTATATTTTGATTTCTCCACCTTGCCTTATGTTCTGTGACTGAGCACTGCTGAAATGATGCTGGCTGCATTCGAACATGCTGCTTTGCACCCTTCCTTGAGTGATTTATATACATTGGCAAGATCACTCTTACACCTTCTCTTTACTAAGCTGAAGAGTCAATTCTTTTGGTCTATGTTTGAAAGTGAGGCAGCGTGCATGCCATTAAATAAGCCAAAGCCAAGAAAATGGTTTTGACCATTACACTATAACCATACACACTGTTTAGCTGTTAACATGGTTCATGACTTTCTTATGGCTTACTAGATTGTCTAGACAACTCTGATCTAGGTTTGAGACACCTTGGGACAGTTCCCACAATGAAGGATAGGTCGGACTACACCAGTGCTGTGTCACATTGCGATTGAGTTCATCGTGCCCAGGGAGGGTGCAGCTGTCAGCCTGGGAACAAACAAGATGAGTCTTCCTTTCAGAAAGCTCAAGAATCCTTTTATCACCCTCAGGGAAGAGGGGTGGGATGGATACAAAAGACTGGGCAAAGGCAGGGTTGTGCAGTTTTATAGGGTATCGAAGGGATGGAGTTTAGGGTTTGGGTCAAGGGAGGAGTTATTAGCAACACAAAAAGGGTAAGGTAAATTCCTGCCTTTTAGGAACAGAAGCACTCCACACACCAGGTTTGTCTCCCTACCCTCTCTGTAGTCCTCTAGGTCTGCGTCAGAAGGCTTTGTATCCTCAGATATCCTTCCTGCTCTGCTTTAGGGCTATTGCACATTCCTTCAGACACATACTGTGAAAATTCCTCTTTAGCTGTAAAGGCCTACATGATGAGCAGAAACTCAACATCCTTTCTCCTCTAGGCAGCTGTACAGGACAGGAATGGAGATGTATAGGACTGAATAGGTAGAAAATAAAATGCTTTTTATGAAGAAATTTAAGTCTATCCTTGCTGCCTTACATTTTGGGCAGTCAACCTTACAAAAACATCATGCTGATTAGAAGGCATCAGCAATAATGTTGAAAAGCATATTCAGCAGCAGAAAATAAAGCATGTTAAACTTGACATAGCACAGGAGACTGCCATAACAGGAATGCTGTTTTCATCTGTGGAGTGACAGAAAAATTCTCAGAGGGCCTTGCTGCTCTCAAGAGCCCCAAAGATCACGTTGATTCAAAAAATAGCTATTCTGAATGCCACACTATTGATGAAAACAACACATGAGAAGTTCATCTCTCACTGGTGTCATAACAGATGGTGCCTCCTTTATGATGGTTAGATATAAGGGTGTTGTGGCACTTATGAACAGAAATTGTTGTAGAGTATGGAGCTGAAGACACTGTTTTATTCATTAGCAAACTCTTATTGCAAACTTCCTTAAAATAGAGCGTGTCATACACATTGATGTTGAATGCATGAAAGTCTCCATACCCAAAAGTCTAGTCCTCTGTGGAAGGCCATGGATCTGAATCTAGAAATTATGTGTATTCACAGCCATTCAGCATATTTGTGTGGCTTTGTTTTGTTGGAGGACATAGATCTATTCCTGCAAAAGAGAAATAAGCATAACAGCGCCTGCCAGGCTGGGACTGCACAAGCCATTTCATCTTTTTTCATGTCTCTGTGAAGTGAATCAGAAGATTTGCAGTGGCAGAAGTTCCCATCTTCCCTAATTGACTGTATGAAAACTTTGAAGGGAAACCTCAAGGCACTGCAGAAACATCAGAAGCATAGTGACACTTCCAGGTTGCAGCAAAGAAGAATTAGTGGAGAAAAAGCTTTTTTCTTTAGAATGTGAGTATCAGTAGTGACCCAAGAAATATCCCAGAATATGTGCAGGTACATCTTTTTGACTTGAAGTGAACTTTGAAGATAAAGATAATATAACATGGATGTTGTCTGTTTTTTTTCTACAAGAACTTAAATTATGAGCCTACTTAGTGATTGCTGGTACTCCTATGAGATTATCCTTACTTTTCCAAGTGTATCTAGATGTGAGCAAATATCCTAAAATGCAAGTATTAAAAAACATACTTTGGAGTAATGACATGAATGGTCACTTTGTATCAATCATCTTCATTACATCGAGTTCTAAAATCATGCTATTGCTAATAATCAGCAATAAAAATCTGATGTGGAAGTCCAAGTCAATGATAAATGGAACAACAACAGTGAATTCTCTTTACACAATCTTTGAATATCTACCACCCTACATCTGTGAATTTCTCTGAAGTCTTGTGTTGCAGATGGGACATTTTTCTATGACTCAGATCCTGATACCCTATCAGTATGTCTGTCCTGAATAAATTTGTGAGTGGGACACCTGAAATGGATGCTTTCAGGGTAGCAGTCAGACTTTATGATTCTGGATTCTTCCTCTTTTTTGAGTGCTTCAGATAAGAAAAAAAATGTATCTGATTAACAGAGAGTGAGTGATCATCAGGAATTCACCTCATCTTCCCCTGGAACCTATTTCTGACAGCAGTGATTCTACAACTGATTAGTTAGTATAAGGACATAATAGTGTGTATTAAAATAGGAAAAAGCTTTCAGAATGTCCCTAACAGCATCCTGGATGCCAGCCCTGTGATTTCTAGCACACAGAGTTACTGCCTCTCTGGAAAGACTCTAGCTTTTATGAAGGGCAAAAATTAATATCTGCTACAAAAAAATGCCACTTTTAGATACAAATGAATGCAGCTGGTCCTACAAAAGCTGTAGTACATGTTATTCAGTACTGCCAACACTGTGCAGGGCTTGCTGAAAATAATTTCAAATCCAGAGAATCGTCTGCAGATCAGTTTTCCCCCAGATCCTGCTGGTGTGTCTTCTCTATTTGAGCATGGAGTTAGGTCTTAAAAATAATTATCGCTTTATTTTTCTGAGAGAACACATTAAGGAAGGGACTTATACTTTCTCTTCCATTATTCAGTGCTGCCTTTTGTTTACATGTCTTTTCCCTCTTCCTCTCTCAATGAGGACTTGACAGTTTTCTGGCTAACTTCTTATCCAGAGTTCAAAGAGTTTTTAATTTGCCTGACAGTTTCAGTTGTCTAAGTTAGGATATAGCCGTCTTTCTTTCACCTTTTTTGAATTGTTGGCTTCATGGGTTATTTCCCTTAACAAGCAGAGATGTTATGGTGACCCTGGTTTCCAGGTCTTCTGCTGTTTTTTGTTGTGCTTGTTTTCAGCTGCACAGAGCAGTCTAGGCATGGGGGTTTCAAGGTGTCTGTGTTTCTGAAAATGTCTTTCCATTTTATTTTGCTTTATATGAGATAAACAGATAATTCTGAATTTTGCAGATTCTACAAACTTTGAGTTCCTTAGTTGTGAAGAAAGTCTACAGTCTGCAAACTCAGTCTGTGGAAAGAAGTATACAGCAAGCTAAGATGTGAAGATCAGGGAAAGCAGGTACTATTTTATGTCTAAGATATTGTTTTGTCAGTCATCTCAATAGTTATGACCAAACATAAGTTTTTCTTGCTTTACATGAAGAAAAATGTGTATGTAGATTTTGTATTTTTGTATTATGTATTTACATATATACGTAATTCTAGTTTACTCAGGTATTTTACCCAGCGAATAAACATTAGATCCCTCTTCCAGTTAGAAAGATAGAAAAGCAGAAGTTTCTGGATTAAGGATTTGAGAACATCGTCACTCATACTTGTTTTGTAAAGTGCATAGTGTGCTTTGGTTGTGGTTCCATTCTGGAAAATATAAAAGAAGCAAAAATTTTAAGTCATATGTATTCAGTATTTCTTCATGAACTACAAAGCAACAATGAGCAAATAAAAGTTGGGGTATTAATTCTGGCTCTGGGAAATAGCCTTACACTTGTTTATAACACATATAGAATTATATATATATATACATATAAATATATGAAGAGTGAGTTGCTATAATATTTTTATTTAAGAGACAGTTTAATTTTTATTTTAATTTTGTGGTTTTGCTGTTTTTTTTTCTTTGTTTGTTTGTTTGTTTGTTTGTTTTAGCAATGGCACCTCTTTTTTTTTGTCTTGTCTTCTTGAAATAATTATGGTTTTCTAGCCCAGTTTTTCTTAAAATTGGGAAAGCAAGCAGATAGTACTTAAAACAGCAGTATGCAATACCTGTTGTTATGTGCACATGTGGATGCAGAGCCAAAAAGCATCTTTGGACAGAAGAGACAACTAATTAAAGTACACAGCAAGTTCCAACTCCCTTGCCTTAGAGTTATGTACCTTTTAGAGTAAACAGTGTACTTGCTAAGTACAACCTGTTATGCTTTAATGGAGTTTGTGACATACTGAATAACAAGCTAGAGGGTAAATGGAATAAATTAGCACCTATTTTGTCCTTGGATATCATGAATTTATATACTGTTGGAGAATTACAGGGAATAATGTCCCTGCAGGATTTTGTCTGAGTACCTGTTGTGTTAGCAGATTAAGGGAGCTGAGCTCCAGATTTCTCGGGTCTCTGTCGCTTCACACAGTCCTTGTTGGGAAATTTGCAGCTACCTTATCTATCTCAGCTTTGCTCCAAAGGAACCACTTTTAATCACAGGCTCTAGAATACTTTAAAACTACTCTTTCCCCCCCCTTTTTTCTTATTGAGCCAGATGACAAATCCTTTCTTGTTAACTGCTATGTTTTAGCTCTCAGATTTCTCTTTAAACATCATTGAATGTTGTTAGATCCTTGAAAGATCCAGTGTCTTACTCTTTTCTCTGTTTAAGGAGATTACCAGCTCTATCAACCAACTCACAAATACTTATTTTCTTAGTAATTAATAATAGAATAAATATTTTCTGTCATCTGTTTTCTTTGCTAGTATCTGATTAGGTGTTTTGGCATAGACATAAGCTCTATATAGAGACTCACACAGAAACTTTAAAAATGTGATGTAAAAAAACATCTTTCTCTCTTTCTGAGATCAGGACAGGGCTACAGCCACAGTATGGGATTGAGGTTCTCTCCCCTGTAACACCCCATCATCTATGAGGTGCTGAGGTCAAAGATTCCTTAAATCTTATCTATTTGTTGTACAAAATCTAGACTTTCACTGCCTGTTACCTTAGTTCAGAACTCTATATTGGCATCAGTAACCTCTCTACAAGGATTGGTGTAACTTACTAGCTCCCACCCCATTTTCTTCCACAATTTTGGATTGCAAGCATTCAGAAGTCATAAATCAGACAAATAATGTGTAATTTAAAAAATGGTTTAAAAACTAAGCTTGGGACTACTCTTTATTTTCTTTTAGTGCTGAAATATTAGGGACAAATTGTTCTGACCCCCAGAATGAAGAAGTTGGGGGTTTTAAACATATTTAATGTAAATGGAAATTTCTAGTAGCTGGAAAGTAGCTACAGGAGGAGTAGCTACAGTAAGACTTACTAAAGAAATGGATATAATTGAGTTAATGAGATAGGAGGAAAGCAGAAGAAATGGTTATGCAGCTTCCTGGATAACATTTTTTTTTGAAAGAGTTTGGTGTTATTTTGCTGTTTGCCCTAAATATGATGAAAAGGTTGGAACAAGCAGGGTAAAAGCATGTATTAGAAAAAAATTAAGCTATTTAATGTTTTATACATCTGCATTAGAGTTTCCTGTAGTGGTTATTACTATAATGCCTAAGTGTTCTCTAAGTAATTTAGATGTGCTCTGTGGAGGTCTTAATGCAGTTAGGTAGAATCATCTCTTCTTTTCACAGTAGAGACACAATGCTCAGGTGCACCACTCTCCAATTTTCTTCCTTGCTGTGTCTTACCCATGCTGTTAATAGTGGAAAAGCTTTCTCAGAGAATATAATTTTGCATGCATCTTGATGGTGGTCAGATGTGTCTGAAAGCTGATTGCACTGATAACCCTTTATAACTCTGAATATTTTCTGGTTTTGGTCTTTGTGTCTTTCACCTCTTATGCACCCTCCTAGTGCAGCATAGCCAGGCATGGTCAGAGATGCATTCAGTTCCAGGTGACTTCTTAGAGTAGAACCTACCTTAGAGTAACAAAAATACCTGTGAACTGAGAGAAATGAGCCAGGCATCATGTGTTTTCAGTCACAACACTGATCAGGAGGCAGCACTCACTGGTCAGCAGAAACCTCTCAAATCCCTGTAGAGATCCAATTCCTGTAAAACTGCGTGGGGTAATGCAATACAAGGTTAATGCTTCCAGATCTATCTCAACAAATGAATTCATTTGCTTTAACGTAAACTCAGTTGTGGAGTGCAAGGACTTTGCATCAGAACTGCAATATTTTAGTACCTAGAAAGGTTGCAATAGAAGGTTCAGTGCCTAACTGCCATTGAAGTGCAATTCTGAAAATCTCATGAGGCATTGACCTACCTCTCCTAAACCCTAATTATTTCTGTGTATTCCCTTATTGAAAAGCTATGCTTTCTCAGTAGTACATTTTTGTGCTCATTCCAATATGGCACTCCAGCAACATAACTATCCAGAAATGGCATCTCCTGTGGTTAGTACGGTTCCTAAATAGCAATTGTATTTGCAGAGAAGAGATGTATATGTTCACTTCTTTCTTCAGTAGTTTTACATACTTGTTATAATTATAAATGTTACTTGGTTCTACCTGTAATACACTGTGTCTCTCTGGTACACTCATAGATACTCACTTTTCCAATAGTGTATGAAAATCTACCAATTGCTATGTATATTAATAATTTTTTCCATTTACAAGATAATGAGCAGATGTATAAAATGTAGATGTCTTTGATTTCACACCTTCCCTTCTGCCTTTGATATCAATGTTCTTCGTAGGTGAACAGTTCTCAACCTTTGACAAACTGAGACCATTAATTTAAACCATTCAAGCTGTAATTTATATTCCTCTCAGCCATAATGAAATTGAAGTGTGTTTTAGCTTTCTGAAGATTGCTTTTGATTTGCTGAGATATGACCCTATGCCTGAGACCACTTGTTTTAAATTAGGAAAAACTCTGAGAAAATGATGCATATATATATATATATATATATTCATAAGGCTTCTAATGCCATCAGTGTTCGTCTCATGATAGCAGAGATGCTTAATTTTGGAGAAAACATTCATGCAAAGAATACAAAATAACAGTTATTATCTGCTAAAGTTTCTCTTTACATGATCTTCCTTTCCATTTTCTATGTCTTACAAAAATGTTTAGGAGGTTTGGAGTTTTTTGTATTCTTATTGAATCTTTAAAAAATGCTGAAGTCAAAGGCTGAGAGGCTATTGTGAACTGTTCAACCATTATTTTGACTCTTCCCCTTTGCATTTATTGATAATTCTGTATCCTCTTCAAGATATCTGAGACTCACTTAATGAACAGCATTATTTGGAAGTTTTTTAAAAACAATTGTTGAGGGGATGGGCTAAGGACTTGTCTTTCCTGGAAAGACTTTAATACAGCTCAGGACCATTTCAGAGAAAAGACAGGAGTAATTTCTAGACCAGTGACATCATCAGCTTTACCTCTCTAGGTTTTGTTCTAAGGAGAATAAATACTTACAGATCACAAGAACATGCCTGTAATCCCCTGAACATATTCTGCTACTGGTCTGGGATTGACAATTCTGGATGTCTTTTAGTGCTCGGAATGGCACATGTTCCAGTCTAATGCTGCCGTCAGATCTGAGATCTGAGATCTTCAGCTTGGTCCAGAGCTCTGAGTGTTAGAGATTTATTTAACTCAAAAGCTAGAACTGGAAGATGAAACAGTGGAAACAGCCCTGTTTGAATAGAGTCTCTGCAGCTCCAGTAGTTACCTTTGTGAACTCTCCTGAAATCTGATTTTCTCCTCTGCAAATACATGAAAATACCATATTTCAGAAGTTTCCTTACAGTAAGATTCTGTAATTCTGGGATATGCACTGGCTGGTATTTACACCAGAAACCTTTATACATGAAAAGCAGAAAACACCACTGGAGCTGCTGAAAAATAAAACTTGTCAGAAATGTTCAGTTTTTGTGAGAAGGCACTAGAGATAAATGATGGGGATTTGTTTCTGTGTTAAGCAACACATAAGTCTGAGCAGATCAATTTCAGTCCACTAGAGGTCTGTGAAATCATTTTCCAAATATGCTTTTAATCTTGTTTTGCAGCAACATTGCTGTGTCTGATAGAGTTAAAATAAAAAAACTTTTTTTGATCCAGTTTCTATTTTTCTTAAACAAAGAACTACTTCCACAGAGTTCTATTTAAGAGACATATCTAACCTAGAAAGCAATCCTAGCTGATTCCTTATCCTTGGATCAGTACAGGGAATTGCACTAACTACTGATGGACTAATATTTATGTAAAATATTGGCTTTCCTTGCAAATGGTCATTTTTTCAAATAGGAAGAGAGTACCATGTGGTGCAGAGAGTTCATTAGCATGAAATACCCACTCCATCATGGTTCTTCTTAGTGCTAAATTTACTTAA